TTTTTAAGTACTGCACCAAAACCAAAGACTTGACATGATTTCTGTTTAATAGTAGTAGCTTCGAGTGATGAACAGCATTTAGTGTTACTCCACATTTTGAAATGATACTTTGATGTCGTCAAGTGCCCAGGAAGTTGACTTTGTAGCGTCATCACCAGCATAAGCTACTGTACACATAGAGCAAACCACTTTTTGTAAAAAAAAAAAAAAAAAGAAAAGAAAAGAAAAGAAAAGAAAACAAAGCTGTGTGTTTTAGAAAGAAGCAGCCTTAGACATTCTCTCACATTGGGCAATTAAAATAAAGAGAATATTTAGTGTTAGGAGCTTCTTTTGTTAAAAATTTCTCCCTTCCCAGTGCTGAGAATAAAAGTAACCAGTAGCTGATTCGCTTTATGTTGTCTGATTTTTATTTGTTATGGAACACAGTTGCTAATTGCAGCCTCACATGACATAGCTATGAAATCAGAGCTGTTTTCACCAAGGAATAGACTAATTAAAACACTTATTTACAGAAGTGGTGTAGTTTTATAAAAAGGCAAATGAAGTTTAACAATGTTCTTTTTCATTTACTATTTTATTATGTATTTCTTTACAATTAGCCTTTGTTTTTTAGAGTTAAATTAATTTTTGTGGAATGAAATGACTTCAGGCAAGTTTCTTTCATAACAGTTTTTCAAATGCCATTTATCCTGGTTTGTCAAGTTGCGTGTGTTTGTAAGTATGAACTTACAAACTTGGCAAATGAATAGAAGTAGAAAATAATGACTAGTACAAGGTGAAATGATTAGATTAGAATTGTCTATAAAATGTTTGTCAGGCCTGACTGGGTACAATTTTTTTTTTATATTTGCAGTGTGCTTTGTGTACATGTATACATGTTGCCAATAATAAGATTTTGCAACTGGATGACACATGATTTTACTTGAACAGTGAAGGACAAAATCACGATTGCAGAAGACGTTTTTATAATCTGTTTTTTCAGAGATTGTCCCTAAACTCTGTAATGATCTAAAAGAGTGAAATGCAATTGCTAAAATTTTCTTGATTAATGTAAAAATATAACTTTCCTGTACTGTACTTTACTTTCTTCATAGGATTGTAAAGATATTCTGATCAACTCTGTATCTTGCATGATGTAGTAAACCTTTTAAACATGTGTGTTAAAATATATTGAGTTTGGATTAAAATGTTGACCAGATTTCACATCTGAAAATAAACTCATCTCTCATTAGGAAGTTACCTATTTGGTAACATGATGGGAGTGGGTGGGGTAGATGAATCAGCCAAAATCAATTGTAGAATTTACATAAAGGATGTTGCGTGCCAAGATTTGATTGGTAGTTTATGAAGTGAAATAATTAGAAATCTCTGGTCATGTTCCTGTTGCTAACGAAATGAGATGACTCCTTAAAAATCTGACACTTTATTGTCTTTTTGCACAAATGCAATTAGTACTGAGGATTGCAAGGACTGTGTTCACTTATTCTTTTATATAACAAGGAACAAATTATGCAGTTATGAAGTAAAGCTCTAGGGCTAACTTGGTGAGGACTTCATTTATCTCCCTGAACTAAGGCAGCAGATTACAGAGAGAAGCTGCCCTCAACAATATGTCCTTTCACCCCTGTTAATGAAGGCAACGTTTAGGTCAAGGGAAATGAATTTGTCTACTTCAAGCTCATCACTGTCAGTAGAAGTATCTTTACTTGACACTAGCCACAATTTTTCTTGACTTGTTAAACTGAAAAGAGTGGAGAGAGGAAATGATCGATGGGTTGCCCTGCTTTCTTCGTGCAGTGTTTTTCTCACTGTGAAGACAATTCAGATTTCTTCATTTTGATGCACATGAAATAGAAGAAGACCCACAAAAATAAAAGAAGAGACTAGGGATAGGAATGATTAAGACTATTTGCAATTATCCAAAATATGTGGAGAGAAGTATTTATTGTTAAGCTTTAAGGCATAGTGAAGTGATGCACACTGGATGTAACCATACCAATTTAGTCCCTTTGGAGTCTACAACAAAGCTAGTGGAGAACTGGCAAAACAGCTCAGCAAACTTTGGAGTGTGTCCTGAAATCAGGCAGCTGTCCTTACTCTCTGTTTCTGGCCTTACACCTCTCAAGAAAGAAACCTATTCAGTTTTTATTTATCCAACTTTTTTTTTTTTTTTTAACAACTACAGCACCTGGTCTTCCTGGGTGGTCTCCCATCCAAGTACTAACCAGGCCCTACCCCGCTTAGCTTCTGAGATCAGACAGGATCAGGCTTATTCAGGGTGGCATGGCCATAGACTATTCAACTTTCCAGTATGTTCCAATAGGACAGATTCTCAAGACTCCAACTATAGGCTGGATTCACTGTATCTAACTTTTGCCTTTAACTCTAGCACCAATCATTGCTCCAGTATTTATGACCAAGATAGTAAAGTGGCTTTACTCAAAGTAGTATACCAACCACAGTAACTTTTAAGTAGAAAAAAACTAGATAAGGCCTAATTTGTTGATGCTCGAGACCCTCAGGAATTACTCTGAAGAGTATCAGAACTGGAATCCAGAATGCCTTGTACCACAATTTATTCAACCATTTTTCTGTTATTGACAATTCCATTTTTCTCTTCTGTTTGCCTCTAAAAATGGTGCTGTAGTAGATAACATGCACCTTTGTGAACTAGCATTGTTTTCACTCCTGTTAATGAAGGCAACATTTAGGTCAAAGGAAATGAATTTCTCTACTTCAAACCCAGGATAGTCACAAACTGGTCAAAAGTCACTGGGAATAATGCATATTTTAAATTGTAATAGACGTGGTCAGAATCCTCGACAAAAGTGTTTAGCAATTCTCACGCCCACAAACGATACATGTGTGCCAGTTTCCCAGCATCCTTGCCAATCTGACGGATAGGAAAAATGGCATATTACATTTTTTTAATTCACATTTTTCAATTAGTGGTATTGACATGTTTACACCATTAAAATAAGAAACATTTAAACCTGTAGGGAATTTTTATGAGTTTATTTGAGCCAAAATGACGATAATTGCCCAGAAGCAAAATATCAACAGGTTGAGAAAATGCTCCAGAGAATGACAGTTTTGCAGCTTATTTTACACATTAGAATGAAAAGAGGAGACGTATAAAGGATTTCATGAAATTCATCAGTGGTAGATTAGAGGGGGACAGGAGAAAGCAAAGCCAGGAAATCACTGAGATTGGATAACAAGTAAAATAGAAACTTCTTTTGCATTGGTAGGTACAGGGTAATTAATAATTAACATTTACAGCACATAGAGATGGTATTTGGGGAACACAACAATGAGGATTTCTGTGGTCTCCTGCTCTAGTGCAGTAGGTACGCCTCGTGGAGTCTGGAAAAGATTACTCTGACATTTCAAAGGTATATTATCTTAGATGCAAAAAGACAATAGACAGGCTCGCTTGAGGTAAAGGCTGACCTTTATCAAGGAAGCTACAGGCCTACAATGTGACTACTTATCATGACCCATTTTAGTTAGGAATTTTTACGTCAGACCACCCTGTGTGGTTACTTGGTCTAAGTTTTAAGGCCTGCCATGCAGGGCTCCCCTGAGCTTATCAGGTTAAGTGAGTGACCCCTTTTTCATCCACAACACATATGAACTGCCTAGTCACAGACATTGGCCGATTTTATTGGAATTACATATTTTTTGAAACATTTCTAGGAGCAGGCTGAATAGAAGTTATTAATTTTGTTTTCTGTGTTGTAAAATCAATTTTTTCTAAACTCTCATTTGACTAATTCAAAAAGCTTAAAACTATATACAAACATTTTTATTCTTTATGCTTTTGGGCTTTCAAATATTAAGAAAATCCTTTCTGTCCCCAGACTGAAATATTTTATCCTGTTGGTTTTACTCTCCCATTGAGACTGTTTACCTACTGGGATTTATTTTCGTATATAGATTTAGGCAGGAGTCAGAATAATTAAATATTCATGTATATGAAGAGCTAGAACAAAAATTTAAAAAAGGAGCAATGAATATTTTTATCCCACTCCAGGTATCTATAGGAGTATTAAGGCCAGATGTTGAAAGCATTTCCGATATAAGTTAAAACTGTCAGGGGGTGAGAGCGACTTGTAAGGCAGCAAGCCTGGCATTTTATGCTTATGCTCACTTGTGACTTCCTGTCGATGTTTCCTACATAGGAATGTTGGGTACGGTTCCTCTCTGCGCTTCTTGCACTGGAATATCTACATGCCCACTGATAAGTAGTTTACCCAGAGACCACTCAAACGTTCCAAATTGTCTTAGACAAAAACTCCCTAAGGGGAGATCCAAGAGCCCAAAATCAAAGACTGACAAGGGCAACGAGACTCTGCGCACGTCCCCTCTTCGGGAGTTGAAAGTCGCCCAGGCGCTTTTGGCAAATCCCGGCATCCAGCCGGATACGCACGCGCAGCCTCAGTTCCAGGCCGCTTTACGCGTCTCGGTAGGTCAGCGCGGGACGCGGGGACTGCTGGGAAGATGGCGGGGATGGGCATGGCGGCTTCCGCGGCTTGGGATCCTTGCTGGAGGTGGGGCTGGATGTCCGTTTCCTTCGGCTTTCACCGTAGTTTCAGTACGTTACTTGCACGGAAGCCCGAGCATGCGCCACGGAGGCGCCCAGGTTAGTGTCGGAAAGGGGGGAATAGGACGCATTCTTTCGAACATCTCTGGTTTCGTCCGTTCCCGTACAGTATGTTTTCGGCGGCTCATTCAAAAATATTCTTTCCCCATTCTCAGTACCCCAGTTCTGGATGTTTTCGACAATTCTTGTAAAGGCTGTGAAGAGAGCTCTGCGGCGGCGCCGGGGTATCCTGGACAGCCCCGGCCCTTGCTGGCGTTTTTTGCTCTATAGTTTAATGATCTTGCTGTCTGCCTGCCTTCTTTGCAGTGAGTTAAATAAGAAAAATTAATATGTGCATTTAATGCGTTTGATTATTAGTTGCTTTTCTTCCCTTTCTCTGCGAGGCCTAAGGGATTTACAGATCGTGACTATGTGTTAAGATGCTTAGACCTGCCCTCCCTTGACTTGAGGGAATTTACAATTTGAACATTTTCTTTGTAAAAGTGTAGATTCTGTCATCAAGCCTAATTGCTAGTTTTGTTTTCTCAATGCTTCTGTTCAGTGAAAACCATAGTCATTGCTTGACAGAGGAAACTAGAATTTAAACCAAAAACCAAAGCACCTGAGTATTTTCTTTTTCTTGTGTTTGGTTCCTCCCAGTCCCCACCCCCCCCCATTCCCACGCTCATCTTCCCGTATGTATAGTCTGTCTTTCTGAATTATGCCTTTTTAGTTTCTGATTCTGTTGTGTTCACACCTTGGCCACACAGCTGTCAGATGCATGATCGCTTGGAATGGAAATTGTCGTTGCAGATACTCTGAGTTAAATTTTTAAACGTATGCAATCAGTTTAACTTTCATTCAGTTGTACACAGCCAGAAACGTGATATATGTGTTTTTCCAGCCAAGTATGTCATTTCAATGCACCAGAACTTGAGCTAATCCTTATGCAAAGATCATTTATGGATATAATATTAACCTATCTACTTAGAACTCACCAAGATTAAATATATTATTGTCTCAGGGAGAAATTTCTGTGTTGGGAAGTAATATTGAAAAGAGGATAGAAAGGATTTTTTGAGTGTTGAGCTAAGGAAATGGGAAATGAACATTTTTGCTGATACAATCTGCCAGCAAATGTAACTGGCTCCTACTAGCCCTGTTATTCACTAAAAGTTTTAAATTTGGCATATTTTACTATGCATTGAAACTTTGAAACAAGTTTACTTGTAGAAGGAATAACTTTAAGGCTTCTAATCCAATTTTTAAAAAATCAACTCAAATCCAAAACAAGGAAAACTTTACCAGCTCACATGGAAGAACTGAGAAGTTTTTGTTAACCACAGTAAAGTGGAGGAAGATTTCATGTAATATTTAAAAAAAAAGAAGATTTTTTTGGTCCAGAAAAAGACTGTAAGGAAATACACAAACTAATTTCTTTAGAGGGAGGAGTCGGATTATAAATGGGATTTTGGTTTTTAAATATCTTTCTATCTTTTTTTTAAGAGCAAATACTGATTTTATAGTAAGGAAAGAACTTTAAAAACAATGAAATGGAGTAACCTTGTAAAGTTTACCAGTTGTGCTGTTGTACTTTGAGCTAAGATCTCTCTGTACTAGTCACAAGGAGCCAAATAAGCAAATAAAACAGTGATTACAGAGTCTTATGAGAAATATTTTCCCAAAAATGATACTATCATATTTTTCAAGGTTACTTGTAAAGAAACTGCTCATTGAGTGTACTTTAGCTAACAGGGAATCATGATTGGCTGTTACCATGGCCCTTAATATGATGAGTGGAAAGGGAATCAGTAATAAAATAGGCCTAGCACCTCCACCTTCCCAAGGGCAGACCAAACTTGTTTGTCCCTCTCCACCAGAACGTAGAGCATGCGAAACTCCTCAAATATTAAAAAACTAAAAAGAAGGCAAAAATTTCACGAGAGGGCTAAAATTAGAATAAGTAAATCTGAATGTTGAATGATACTATTTAGGACAGATGATACAGCAGCAACAGTAAAACATTTTTGATGAATCTCTGTCTTATTGCCTTGAAATTTCCACTTGATCGTGTATTTTGGAAGAATCAAGATTGAACCATGGTCAAAGAAGGTACTGATTTTGAAATGATTTTTAAAATATGCGCAGACTGTGACTTTAATACTTCAGGTCTGTTTTTGCTTGCTATTAAACGGAAATAGTATTTGACATCAGTTTGACAAGAAAGTTAAGATTGAAAATATATATAGTTTTCCAAAAACTGTATTTGCAAACTATAGTTTATATTTTTTGTACTTTGTTTAGCTTTCAGACAAAAGACATCAATCTCTTTCCTTAGTCGACCAGACCTTCCAAACCTGGCTTATAAGAGACTAAAAGGCAAAAGTCCAGGAATTATCTTCATCCCTGGCTATATGTCTAATATGAATGGTACAAAAGCATTGGCGGTTGAGGAGTTTTGCAAATCTCTAGGTCACGCCTTTATAAGGTAGGAACAACACATTTCAAAGAAAATGTTACTGCCATATAGCATGGCATCAGAGAATTCTGCTCTAACCAATTGAAGCAAATATCAGCATTTTTATAGATTAATTTGTTTTAATGGTCTGTAAACGTTGATATTGTGATTTTAGGGTTCTTGTAAATGCAAGCTTTAAAAGACTTTTTTTGAAGGTCTTTGTGCCACACTCAATGCTGGCAGGAAAGAAAACTAGTGATAACTAAGCTCTTTAGCTACAATAATCTAACATGACAGCAAACCAATATACTAGTTGGCTTTCTTATATTTTGTTTTTATATTGTGGTTTTTTATTAGGGATTTGAGGACTTTTATTTGATGACTGTTTATTACCTTTTAAAATGTTTTTAAAAGTACAGTAAGTTCTCGCTTAATGTCGTTAAGTTCCTCGACTTCAAAACAATGTGTAATGAAATCAATTTTACCATAGGCTAATTGATATAAACAAGAGTTAATTTCCTATAATATCTCATCAACATTATAACAAAACATCCTTGAACAAAAACGACATTATTGGAGGACCTGCTATGTTGTAAAATTAGTACTGTATAATTCACATTTCCACTCAGTTTTCTCTTTCCCCTCACTCTGCAATCTGAATATGTATAAGCATAAATAGAGAAATGTGTTGATTAACTAACAGTTGATTTCACAATTTATATTTCATACTGATAATTATTTTAGTAAATAACATGTTTACATTGTTGTTGTTAGGTTTATAAAAATAATTTAGTGCCTGATTTGCCAGAAGAGTTAGTATGGTTTAATAGAAAGTCATGGCCTGAAATTCAAGAAACATGGGTTCTAGAATCAATTCTAGCAGTAACTGTGACAAGATGAGTTAGTTAATAAACACTGGGTCTAGTTTCTTTATCATAATAAAGGGGGAAGTTGGATTAAAGATTATTTCTGAATTCTTTCCTAGCATTTACAGCCTAAAAATCTATTCATCTAAATTTTTAGAAGAATGGTTTCAGTAACGTTCGCTCAATAGATCTAGGAACTACAGCTATTAGCAGTAAAATAATAAATATAAATAAACTTTTGGACTTTATTTAATATATTAGAAGTTATATCTATTATATGGATTTAGTCTTTTTCCTTTTATTAATTCATACTCAGAACTCTTAAAAGTCTATCTGACTTAAATGTTATTCTGAATACTGGAATATCTTGCAAGTAGACTTTCTAGCACTGTACTGAGTGCTGTGAAATATACAAAGAATTATAAAACTTGGGCATTGCCCTTAAGGATCTTTTATTGAAATGGGAAAACACAGGATAAAATACTTATGAGAAATTGGGCAAAAATACTTATCAAAATGTGATTGTGTCGAAAGAGCAGTAGACTTAATTGTATAAGGTGAGAGAAGGAAAACTGGGAGGTTAAAGTGGATAAAAAAGGCTTTATAAAGGAACATCAAAGAATAATTAGGGCTTGGGTAAGAAGGAAAAGCTATCCAGGAAGGGAACTACCCTTAGCAAAACATTATAATATCAGAAATACTGCCATTATTCTCCTTTTTTTTCTCCAAAAGATTTTGAATCAAGAAATTACTGTTTTTTAATTTAAATTGAGACTTTGGGAGCTATAACCAGTTCCTGTCTCCCTATGTCAGTTTTCTGCATTTTTGGATACATGTGAAATACACTTTCTTTTTAAAGGTGTGTTAAATAATCATGATGAAATTATAATGTGTATGGATTATTAAGTGGTACTGTAGCCTATATATATCTTTATAAACCTTTATAAAGTATAGCCTTCACTACATATTTTTAATTTGATCAAATTCCTCTGGGACTTTGTCAAAACATATTGCAATCTATCTTGTTAAAAGATATTTTATCTTTTATTTATACTCCAGTTTCTCAGTTTACTTTTGTGATTTTGGCTGTAAAATTCAGATCTTGAATGAAGAAATGGTTAGTTTTGTATATTTATACAAGAAGTGGTACATATGGGTATTTGGAATATGTTTTCTTAACATCCTGCCACCATGCCAAAAATAAAATTGAGTCAGAGCTAAAAAATATAACGTGTTTTTAGGGTTGATATTCTCTCATAGTTATTTCTAATAGAATTTTTAATTATAGATTTGGGAATATGTCTTAGAATATTGAGGCGGCTGCGACAGACTTTTGTTACTATTTCAAAGTCCTAAACCGATGAGTATATTTGAATTATCTTTGTCTTTTGGTAGGGTTCAGCAAGAATGAACTATATTTTTCACTTGTAACCTTTTAGTGTCACTAAATGGTTACAATTTCCTTTATGAAGGGGCTTTACACTTATTTTGCATCTTCACATATATTTGGAAAGCAGCTGTAAAAGATGCAGCGAGTATAGGTGTCCGATTGCCCACCAAGGCAGGGAAAAGGAGGATTGGCTGGTGCCTTTCTCCCTGGTCTGTCTTCAGTGTATCCTGGACTGAGAGAAAATAGTAACTATGATTTAGACTTCAGCAGCTGCCTCATTACACTATTTCCCAAGGATCCAAAATCATTTTACTATATTCCCAAAGAAAATTTTAATTTCTTCTTTCTCCATCACTTATAAATCTCTTATCTGTAGGAAAATATGTATATGCTGTATATCACTTATACCTACATGTACACTAAATTTACTAGGATTTATTTTCATCAGATTTTAAGAATCAGAAACACGTGGAAGTTCTAAATTTGAATAAAGTAATTCTTCTTACTTTTATCTTCTACTTCTGTTCCTTTAGAATGTATTGTATAATACACAGTAAGTGAGGTTTACATGCATAGCCACTATGAAGAGTGCACAACAGAAATAAGATGATAGTTTTTTTTCCTCCAAGATCTTGCAGTCTCACAGGAATGAGGCACAACATATCCACACACAGATTGGCATGTAAAGCAGTATATAATAAATTGATTGTGACTGATAAAAATGAATTCTGTGTTGGAACTAATTTAAATAATAAATTTTGAAATGAATTCTGTGAAGTTCCATTAGGTAGAGATTTTTTTCAACTTGGAAGACTTTCCAACAAAAAAGATTCATTTGGACTAAGCTCTGAGAAGAGGATATTGGTAATGAAGATGATGGGAGAAGATAATCCAGGTGAAGGAAATAGTATGAGACATGAAACAGACAGAAAACAGCCTATTTTAGGAACAGCAAGTTGATCAATTTGGCTAAAACAGTAGTTTTCTCTGATGAAATGATAAAGAGTCAATCTGAGATGACCAGAATATAATGGTCTTAAAAAAATAAGGCTGAAACACTAAATTTTTATGTTTTATGTCACAAGGAGCCATTGAAGTTAATGCCATATCAGTAATAATATTTTAGGGAAAAAAACGGATCCATTAAGACAGAGAATAGAGTCACGGAGGCACAGTTAGGAGACTACTCTGATAGGCTGGTTTTAAGATAACAAAAAAACCTGCACCAAGATCCTGGTCTTAACAAATGAGACAAAAAAGGATGAATCTAAGAAATGAGAATGAGTGAGGATGGTGCAGGGCAGGCAGTGTTCTATACTCTGGAAAAACAAACTTGAATAAAACAGCCCTGACATTCTAGTCATAGACAAATATTCAAAATTCGATTAAACACACAGTATGGAAAGTGTTAATTGAGAACATACAAAAGAAAGGGACTGACCTGTACTAAACAAGGCATATGTGTCAAAGGCATGTTCCTTAAAGGAGGTAACATGACTTAAAGGATGATTAGGAGTTTGGGTGGGGAAGAACGACAGCCTTCTAGGCAGTGGAACATCTTGCAAAGGCTCAAAATGCTTATCTGGGAATTGGAAGTAGTTCAGTATGACTAAGGTGTATAGTGATCTACAGGAGCGGTATAGTACTTCATGATTTATAGAATTAAGACATTGAGGAGAGGTAAAATTCACAGATCAAGCAGATTTTGAGCCTGGAGAATTAGGAAGTTGAAAGAAGAAGCAAATTAAATGGATAGGCTGGTGATGAATTTGATTTTGGTCTCCTCTTTTCCTTACACCAATTTCGTAAATATATACTAAGCACTTAACCATGTGCAAGGTACTGATCTAGGCCCTGGGAAAGCAGTGGTGAGCAAAACAAAGCCTATGCCCATAACCACCAGTTCTAGTGTGGGAGACACATCACAAATGAATAATCAAATACCGTATATAATGTCAAGTAATAGTATTTGCTATGAAAAAAATAAAGCAGGGTAAGGAGATAGAGAATGATGAAAGCAGCACAGTTTTACACAGAATGGTCAGAGGTGGCTTCTCTAGGCTTGTAACATTTGAGCCAAAGGCCTGAATCAAGTGATGGAGCAACCTAAGTAGATATCTGGAAGTAGAGTATTCCATGTGAAGCAAAAAGCTGATGTAAAACTTCTGAGGCCAGAATGTAGGCAGTATATATATTTTTAAATATATTTTAGGTATTGTAATAATGATGAATGTGCTATCTTCCTTAAGAATCAGAGAATCAAATAAATAGATATCTAGATATACATATATTTTCCTTTTTTCCAGTTTTGATTACTCAGGAGTTGGAAATTCAGATGGTAACTTACAAGAATGCACAGTGGGAAGATGGAGAAAAGATGTTCTTTCTGTAATTGATGACTTGGCTGTAGGACCACAGGTGACTTTTTGTTAAACATAATTGTTGATTATAACCTCATGATATGTGAGCTGTTTCTTTGGATATGAAAACTTATTTAATATTTTAAATATTTAAAAGTCAGTTTTGATATTTGCTTTAAAATAGTTTTGTCATTTTCACATTCTCATAAATGTAATATTTTTTATTTTACAAATTTTTTTTGTAATTTTTCTGTTATAGACTTAGTACTTTAACAAAATTGTAATTTCAATTCTACTTTGTGCTAAATATTAAAAGTCTGGGAGCTAAAGGATATAAAAGAAAAAAAAAAACATACATTCTATTAAATTACTTGCTCCCTTGTGGAAAAGAAAAAGAAATCCCTCTTTAAAACTACATGTTTTTAATTTTAGATACTAGTTGGATCTAGCCTTGGTGGATGGCTTATGCTTCATGCTGCAATCGCACGGCCACAAAAAGTTGTAGCCCTTATTGGTATAGCCTCAGCTGTAGATGGTCTAGTGACACAATTTAATCAGCTTCCTGTTGAGGTAAGTCACAGGCAACCTCACTGTATACCTCATATCATTCTTCTCTTTTTTACTTATTATGTTGGCCCATCTTTTAATTTAGCTGCTTTTTTTATACATACAATCGCTGTTTTCTTTAGTATTTGGTCTCTTGTTTAAGGTTTCCTTTTCTTTAGTCCCTTCAAATTATTGGCAGATATTGGACCCACATTAATAAAATCACACTATAAATTTTTTTTAGCAATATTTACTTTATTATTCATATTTATTTATATAGCTCATACATCATGATCTCTTCTTGTACCTCTTATTCTTATTTTGTGGCATATGGAGAATAATATCTATTCTTATGACCATATTAGACATGACTAATCAATTATGAAACTTTCATTAGCCTGCAGCAGCCTCAGATCCTCTCTCTGCAGAGCTCTCCAAGCACACACTGTCAATCAGAATTAGCACACAGGAGAATGGATTTGCCATTCCTGGCTTAGACACTTGGTTGGCATTCCTTTTTTACTCCTTATTCTCACCTTAAAAAATAAAAAGTACTTTTTCATTATTCATCAGCATAGTAAAACTAAGGTTTCTGAAATAACTGGGAAGGTATTTAGTTTATTATACTTTATTATTGGACAAATGTTTAAGCACTTCAGTTGTCTGTAAGGATAAAGAAATGGTAATAGCTGTTTATTTTTGTGTATGTCATTTTTTTGTTGTTATTTTGCAATCAATTGAACTCTCCTTGGGCATCTTTTCCTAGGGATCTAAATTTCACCTGTGAGACTAAGATCCTAGCTGGCCCAAGGCCTGGAAAATTAAAGTAAAAGTCTAAAGAAGGGATTCAGAAAGTATGTTCTCCAGGCCAGTGGCAACAGCATCACCTGAAAACTTGTTAGAAAGGCATATTCTTAAGCTTCACTGAATCAGAAACTGGAACAAGACCCAGCAATCTGTTTTAACAGGTCCCTCAAGTGAATGTTTGAAAACTCTGCTCTAGAGAGCGGATGAGCAGGAGGAGAAAGAAATAAAAAGAAGAAAAAAGCATATATAGTATTCAGTCGTAGAATGTCATTGACTTTTGCCTCAAGTTCTGCATTGAACCTAGTGCCATATATTATCTGTTCTAAGTTTATTCTTAGAACAGATAATATATGGCACTATAATATAATATATGGTTCATGTTGTTCTTCCCAGCTTAAGAAATGGTATTGTCTGCACAGTCAGGTTCTTCATATGATTTCCTATCAGGGCTAAAACTGTGAAGCTAGTTTTTCTTGCCCTTATCTCCTATTTCTGAATTTTTTTCACTTTCTTGGTTGTTTTTCATACATAGTTACTCAATGTCCTCGTGCTGCTAAATTTCCCTAACATTATGTGTCTCTGCATCTAAACCTTGGACCCCTTACTCCATCCTCTAACTCAATAATATAGTGCCTCTCATGGTTGGGAAATTATTTCAAGAACATGGCAGATTGGAAAGGAGTTGATTAAACAGTTTTTTGGTGAATATTGGTAAATGACAAGATTTACATACATTTCTGTTTATGTGTGTATATTCACATCACTCAGAGCATATGGTAGATATCCCTTAAGTGACTGAGATCTATAGTCTATAAATCAGAGTATGTCTTTGCTAATCCTAAATCAGACCAGCAAATGGTTGTTAATAGAAACATGTTGAGCCCTTGTTAATGTAAAAGCATGTGTAAGGAAGAAGCAGGGACACCAGGACCATTTCTTTTCTGCACAAAAGAAATGTTAGGTAGCCTTAACAGTGTCAAGGGAGCAGAAATGGAGATTTTTCACTATCTTCTCTAGCCCTGGAGTGTTAAGACCCAGCATTTCTCTTTGTGTAAGAGCTTGCCTTACCTCTTCACTAACTCTAATCATTGACTCCTTCTTTGGACACCAGAGGGCACAACTGTTTGAAATCCAAGCATCTCAACCACATTGCCTTGACGCAGTTTCTACTTGATGTAGAACTTATGCATGTCGTGTATTTTCTTTGGTTAATACTGTTTTACTATTTCTCAACTTTTTTTTTCGAGGATTTGGGACAAAACATTTTGTAAGGTTATTCAAATGGACAGATAATATTCAGTTCATTGGCAAATAACAGCTAGTTGGAGGGCAAAGATGCTTAACATGAAACTATTATTAATTAATTGTGTCTCAATAATTAGCATAGTTCCCACTTAATAACCAATGTAACTAAGTTCTAATTACTGAAGTTACAAATTCAGGAGTAATCCTGACTAGTTTGAGGATAACTTGAGTATCATTTTTGCTTTAAATAATTGGTTCACATGTTTTAATGCCAAAACTCCATGATATTAATATAGATTTATATATTATATAGTTTTTGAATTTCTTTAATTTCAAAGAAATTATATATTTGAGATAGATATTTAGAAGTATAGCTTTCAGATATACAGCTTTTTCCCTGAAATCAATTGATTTCAACCATGCAATTTCACTGAATGAAATCTTAGAATTTAAAAAATAATATGCCTACATATATATAGATTATACTGTACATATTTTACAGTTTAAAATCTTGTTTTTCTTTCTATATTTACAATAAATTTACAATTTTAAACATGGAAAAATCATAATATGTTTATTGAAAATTTACAACTTTTTTCAAATGTTATATATGACTTTTCTTTCCTTATATTTTTGTTTATTTTTGATAAGATGCCCACCTGTTTTTCTACTCCAAAATGCCCTTTATGTTATATTGTTGCAAGAGTTTTAAAACTATATCTTGATTTATCAGTTCTAGTTCCGATATTGCCAGAGAATTTATTAAATACACATAAACTTTTATGCTCAAAGATATTCATGGAGGTATCTGGCAGTATAAGAATAGTCAAGTCAATTATCTTAGATTGATTATAGTGGACTATTATGTAGCCTTTAAAAACTTGTCATAGGATTTTTAAAACCCAAAAATGTGGTCTATGGCCATGCTACCTTGAACAAGCCCAATCCCCTCTCATGTCGGAAGCTAAACCGGTTCGGGCCTGGTTAGTACTTGGATGAGAGACCACTTAGGAAGACCAGGTGCTGTAGGTGTACAAAATAAAAAAAATAAAAATAAATTTAAAAGCCCCAAAATATATGTATTAAATAAGTAAAGCAACATAGAAAACTATATATATATAATAGATATGTACTTTATATGTTATTTATATGAAAATCAAATACAACAGGTTCTCAAATAATGTCATTTCTTTCAACTTCATTTTGTTATAATATTGATGAGATGCCTTAGGAATTTAACTTTTCTTTTTATCTGTTAGCCTATGATAAAATTGTTTTCATTGTACGTCATTTCACTTAAAGTCTCAGAACCTATCAATGATGTTAAGTGAGGACTTATTGTACATATAAAAAAATACTCAAAGGAAATAAGCTATCATATTTATGGTTATATCCATGAGGTGAGGTAGGATTATGGGTGATTTATTTTTTTTTATACTTTTTATATGTTACTTTAATTAGGAAAATTATTTAAAACAAATTAAATCTAACTAAAAAGAAATTCTTCAAGAATCAAAAGATACCCACTTTCATTTTAAGGGAATAAGTGTAGAAATGTTGCTCAGTTTTTAGGAAGTATTTGGAAGACTTCATTGTCAGCTAAAGCAACGGATTTTTTCTAATTCCATAGGACCCTGGAAAGCAAAAACTATACATTTTTATTTATATTCAGGGCTTGATTATCCCAGTGTAACTACTGTCTTGTCTTTTCATTTTTAGTTCTATGTTTGATCCTTCTCTCTTTACTCCATCCCCATTTTTGTAACTTCTCATATAGATGCTATTTTAGTTTTATGATTTTGAAATATAAACAATTTTTATTTGTAAGAGTTGATTTTATATAATATTACTGATAACCTGAAATTACATATATTTATAATTATATTCCAAAAAATTATTGTACTTTTTCTCCCCTTCATTTTCTGTTTTAGTCAGGGTGAAGCACCACCTGATTCAAAATGTTAGGTGATAAAATTAGATAGATCTAAGTTTTGAATCCTAGCCATAACAGTTCCTACCTTTGAGCTTTGAACATATTTGACTTCTCTAAACTCCAATATCTTCTTTTGTAAAAATGAAATAATAACCAAATTATCAGGATCTTATGAGATTCTAGGTGCAAAATACCTATCGCTGTATCTTGTGCATAGTATTATTGATAATTATTATTGATACATTTTTATCTCTTTTTCTCTTCCTCAAGGACTGCTTTAGATTGTATAAGACTGTTACATGTGTTAATGTTTCATACTTTTATTTTCCTAATTTTTCCCAATAGACGAAAAAGGAAATAGAGATGAAAGGTGTGTGGAGCATGCCGTCAAAGTACAATGAAGAAGGCGCTTACCACATTCAGTACAGTTTCATTAAAGAAGCCGAACACCACTGCTTGCTACACAGTCCTATCCCTGTGAACTGCCCTGTAAGATTGCTCCATGGCATGGAAGATGACATCGTGTCTTGGCATACATCCATACAGGTTGCTGACCGGGTCATCAGCAAGGACGTAGATGTCATCCTCCGAAAACATAGTGATCACAGAATGAAGGAAAAAGCGGACCTTCAACTTCTTGTTTACACTATCGATGATTTAATTGATAAGCTTTCAACTGTAGTTAACTAGAATCAAATTTTTAGTTGGTAGATATACTAATGATCCATAAAATTGAAAGAGGGATAACAAATGGAAGAACCTGATACTTAGGTTTTTCCTCTTATCTCTGTTTTGTTAATGTCACATGAGTATTTATTTAATGATGTATTTGCACTTAAGTGAAACAAATTGTGAAGAAAGTACAGTCTTTGTCTTTATCCTCAAGGGATTTGTTCCAAGATGCTACTCCTCCCCAGGCGCCCTCTCCCCCTGCCCTGCCCCCACCTTGGATATACAAATACAAGGATGCTCAAGTCCATTATGTAAAATGGTGTAGTATTTTGCATATAACCTACACATATCCTCCTGTGTACTTTAAATCATCTCTAGATTATTTATAATACCTAGCATAATGTAAATGCTTTGTAAATAGTTGTTATACTATATTGTTTAAGGGTCAACTTTTTGGATTTTTCTTTTTTTTAATATTTGCGGTCGTGGTTGGTTGAATCCAAGGATGTAGAATCTCCAGACACTGAGGGCCGACTGTATCAGCTATTTGGAAAACTTTCTCCTTCCTTAAATTTTTGATTTTTTTCATTAAAATATTTCCTATTTTTCCATTAAAGAGATGTTTAACTTTTAATGCTATTTTAACTGCCAGCTTTTAATTGTTCTCTTGTTCTTAGAATAATAAAGCTTAACTTTTTTTGTTTGGTGTCATTATATATGGAGATTTGTAAAATTCTGATTTTAAAATGCAGTTCACAAAATATAGGAAAATAAATCTGAAATGATTAGAAAAATGTCTAAAGCATAATAAAGTCCAAAAAATATATTTTATATATTATGCATATTTGAGCTTAAAATTAAGGTAACCTTTTTAAAGGCTTAAAACTACAGTGATATAAAGGAGATATATCATTTCTAAATATTGACATATTTAAATGGGAGAATTACATCTTAATGGTATAATATTTTCATATTCTAAAGAGAATGTATTATATATTATAGCCCACCTGCAGAAACATTTTTTTTTGTTAATATGTACCTTAAGTTCAAGTAGCCAAGTGATTGCCATCTAGATCAGAGGACTTTCTGAAGTGCAGATATAGCAAAAAAATATGAAATGCAAATATAAAGGTTTTTTAATAACTAAAATGAGCTCGTGCAGTAGTCAGCTTAGATATTGAGTTGGTATTTTTTAGCTTTTAAGTTTGGACTTTAGTTCTGCTTATTTAGGTTATGTTTGTCAAAATAATACTTAGGTTGACAACATGATATAAGTATATGAAGAAGGAATCTTGGGACAAAATTCTTGTGCCAAAAGGAGTTAACATAGCAGGTCTGACTACTTATCTTCAGAGAGACCTGCTTACAAGGTTGATCTGTGGCTGTCTTCTGGGAACTCGAATTTTAGGAGGGCTCCGCCATTCCCACTACTGATAAAAGTGGCTCACTGCACCTCAACTGTCTTTGCAAACAATATGGTTTATGCAGAATGCTTGCTTTTCTCCTGAGAATCTGGAATTTTGGTAGGTGCTAGGCAGAGACTGTCTAAGTGACCAGCTCCCAATAAAAACTGGGCACTGAGTCTAACAAACTTTCGTGGTGGACAGTATTTTATATGTGCTATCACAAGTTGTTGAGGAAATTAAGCTCATCCTGTGTGACTCCACTGGGAGAAAATTCTTGTAAGCTAATGCTTAGTTTTCTCAGATTTCACCCCAGGTTCTTTTTTCCTTTGCTGATTGTGCTTTGTAATAAAGCGTAGCTGCAAGTAAAACTATACTAACAGAGTCCTGTGAATCCTAGCAAAAATTGAACCTGGGGGTGGTCCAGAGGATGTCGGACACATACAAAACAGGTCAAATTACTACAAGGCAATAAAATTATAATCTATGAGTTTCCTTTTATGCCAAAAAATTATCTACAAATAATATATCAATTGTATAATGTACCACAGTGCCTTGTGCCGAGTGAGTTGATAATGGGTGGCCCATGGCTATTCCAGGGCCTACTCTTCCCAGTCACTACTAGGCACGAGGATTAGACAGGTGAAGAGGAAAGGGCCCCCGCCCTTAAGAGTTTTCTAGGGTTAAACATAATTATAAAATCTAATATGATTACAGATTCATAGTATACCTGTAGAGGCAGCATAGCGTACTGGTTAAAAACAGACTAGAGCTTATGTTTAAATCCTTGCTCACCATTTACTAGCTCTAACAGCGATATATTTACCCTCCCTGAGGTTTCCTCATCTGTAAAATGATAATATAAACCTAGGTAATAAAGTGTTTAAGGACAAAGGATTAAGTACAACACAATTAGGACAATGACACATAGGCGTCACTACCTTTTTGTTTTTATTATGCACAGAGCACCTTTTCGCTTTTATTATGCACAGAGCACAATCGGTGAGAAAGGAATGAAGACATTCATAGAGGTTTAGGAAGAAAAGGGGAGACAAAGAAGTTCATAGGGCTTCTAAAGCTGGACTGGATTGGACTTTCCAAACCTGGCAATTCCAAATTGGAATGTTGTATGGTTTCCTTTCAAAGGTTCAATGGTTAGGAAAAGGGAGAAGAAGGAGAAAACTTTCACTATCTAAATGTAGGAAAATTGTTCTAAAATTTAGCTTTGCAGAGGGTAACGTTACAATTTCCAAAAGAGTTTGAAGAATCAGATTTAGCGTATTCTGGTATATCGTTCTTTTATTTTTTTCCCCAGCCTTTTTTTTCCCTAAAACCACTCTATGCCATGTATTCAGTGACATGGAAAATGTTTGAACAGCCAGCAGCCCCTGGGTGCCTTATCCTGTGGAACTCCTGCATTATTTTAAAAGCGACATGACCCCTCTAAGCAATCTCAGCATGTGCAATGGAAAGGGATACTGCTAGTGCTAATGGAAAGGAAGGCCAAGTGAGCCTGTTTGCTTTCACTGCATCTGCTGTGCTTAGAGGCATTTCCAGACAAATCTAAACAGCAAGCTGTTCTCTGAGCAGCCAGTAGAAAGGTCTGTTGGGAGAGCAGGAAAAGAGCTTTGGGCAAGCCTGAGCTTTTTAAAGCATGGAGATAACAAGAAAAATTTTACTGGCCACATAACCATTTCCAGGGTAGTACCCAAAAGAAATATGTCAAATTTTCATTAAATTTTGAACTTAAAAAAAAAACGAACTCAGTTTCTGGAGGAAGATGGGTAGAATTTAGATATACTTTTTAAAGATCCCCTTTAAACACAAAACTAAAGTAACATTTCAGTTTAGAAACAGTCATGTGGAATGCATAACTTGGTTTGATGAAAAAATATGATGCTTTGCTGCATTTAGAATATACCTAGAACAAGGCAGGCAAATTTTTTCAACCAATTGTGTCTTTGGAGGAAATGATCCTTTCACGTTTGTGCTTACTCTTTTCTTGAGTGTTTAGGGTTTTGCTGACAGATAAACTTTCTTCTACTAAAAAGAAACTCAAATGTCAACTCAGTGAAGCCTTTTCTGACTCATCTTCATCTCTATTTCCAAGAAATTCATCTCTGGCTCCTCTTCTTACTCACCTTGTAACGTTAATATTCCCTTTCCGTTCTAACCTTGGTACTCTTCCAATGCTACTTTTTTATTCACCTTGAGCAACCACACCCAAGTTCCTGGTTTTAAGTGCTACCTGCATGCAGATGATTCAAGTCCATTCTTCGATTCCAAACTTTTCTCTTGAGCTTTGTACCCATAAAACTTCCCCCTTTATGTACCTCCCTGCCTATGGTTCCCCTCACAAAATGGTACCACCGTTACCCCTGTATATAAGCCAAGCTAACAATGCAATGTCACTGAATACGAGGAAGCTGGGAAGAAGTGGCAAGTAGCTCACTTGTTACATAGGCTATACACTGTGTGGATGGAAAAGGAGTCATGTTAACTTCACAAGCTCAGGGGAGCCCTGCATGGCAGGCCTTATAGACTCAGAAACCAAAAGTAACCATACAGGGTGATCTGGGGCAAAAATTCCTAACCCAAAGCAAATCATGGTGGGTAGTCATGTCCAAGACCTGTGGCTTCCCTGACAAAAGTCAATCTTCACCTTGGAAACTGTCTATTGTCTTTGTGCATCTAAGACAACATAACTTTGTCAGAGTAATCTCCTTTTGCAGACCCTCGAAGGCACAACCATCAGTACTAGAGCACACAACCACATTGTTATCTTGTTGCCCACATACCATCTCTGTGTGCTGTAAATGTTAACTATCCTGTACCCACCAATGGAAAAATATGTGTCTCCATTTTGCTTTTTATACAATTTCAGAGATTTCCTTGCTTTGCTTTCTCCCACCTCCCTAATCTTAGGCTGGACATCCTTTCATGGACAATTATATAGAGACAATAAACATAAATATCTTCAAAACATAGGTAATGGTAAAATATAGCAAAATATTTTAGAAAATGATCCGTTCTGAGTATTTAATCTTTGTAACATAAGTGTAAGTTTACATAATTTAATAGTATATAATGGCCGAAATTAACAACTGGCCCTCAAAATTCCTGAAAATTTAACCACGAGCACTTGCTAGTGTACTATTTTATGATCTGGAGCCTGCCTGACATCCCACCTCCCTAATCACAACCCTCTGTTTTTCACAAGTTCTCACGCCTAGGCCTTCAAGTACTGACCACTAAGTCTTGTCTCAAGAGAACCACACACATATCTACTGAGTAATTAAATTTTTGCTACTCCAGGCCCCAGCTGGAAGGAGATTTTTCTTAATACGTGTATTATTTGAGGAGTCATTTCCTGCATAGCTTCTAATCAATTTCTCACAGGGACAAAGATCACCATCCCATGTACTAGAATCGTTTTATCTTACCTGCCTGAATCAATGGATCCTTCTTTCTAGAGGCAAGAATTTTACTTTATTTCTTTCCAGCACAGTACTTGGTACAGTTAAGTGATCAAAAAATATTTTCTGAATGAATCAAACAAAATTTTTGGATGTTTCTCTCATGAAAGTACCCAGAGACTTACACGATACAAATAAGACTCAATCTTTACCCCTCGTCGAAGAAGAATTGCCAAAACCTTTAACAGTTTATAAAAATTTCAGGCCAACTTAAGTCCGATGACTTCTGAAGTCTTATTTGTTAATAGCAAATACTCAGTTACCCTTGATAGTATATCAGTTGTGTCTTCCTGGTTATTAATTAGACAAAATATTTACACTTTATCAAAATCTTTCACTCCAAGTTCTTAGTATATTGAGCTCTTTTTTATTAAAAGTTATTGAGGTGACACTGATTAATAAAGTCAAATAGGTTTCAAGTATGCAATTCAACGGTATGTCATATATATATTGAATTTGTGTGTTCACCACTCAAAGTTAGATTTCCTCCCATCATCAAATATTTGACCTCTTTTACTCCTATCTACCCCTCATCTCCCCCACACCCCTGTCCACCTTTCCCTCTGGTAACCACTAATTCACTGTCCATGTCCTGAGTCTCTGTTTGTCATGATTTTTTGTTGATTTCAGTTTTATATCCCACATATGAGTGAAATCATATGGTTTTCAACTTTTTCTGTCTGTCTTATTTCACTTAGTATGATTATCTCGAGGTCCATCCATGTTGTTGTAAACGGCAGTATTTCATCTCTTCTTATGGCTGAGTAATATTCCATTGCATATATGTACCGTATCTTCTTTATCCAACATCTATTGTAGGACATTTCGGTTGCTTCCTTGTCCTGGCCACCATGAATAAAGCTGCTATGGACATCAGGGTGAATATATCTTTGTGGATAAATGTTTTCAGGCTTTTGGGGTAAATACCCAGAAGAGGGATTGCTGGGTCATATGATAATTCAATTCTTAGTTTTTTGAAGAATAGCCATACTGTTTTCCATAGTGGCTGTACCAATTTACATTCTCACCAGCAGTGTATGAATGTTCCTTTTCCCCACAACCTCTCCAACCGTTATTACTTGTCCTGTTGATGATAGCCATTTTAACAAGCGTGAGCTGGTATCTCATTGTGGTTTTGATTTGCATTTCCCTAATAGCTAATGAAGTTGAACGTCTTTTCATATGTCTATTAGCTGGAGGTAACACACTGTTTGACTTCAAATTATACTACAAAGCAACAATAATCAAAACAGCATGGTATTGGTGGAAAAACAGACACACAGATCAATGGAACCAAATTGAAAGTCTAAAAGTTAACCCCTGTATATATGGGCAAATAATTTTTGACAAAGGAGTCAAACATATAATGGAGAAAGAAAAGCCTCTTCAGTAAGTGGTGCTGGAAAACTGGAAAGCCACATGCAAAAGAATGAAACTAGACTGCTGTCACCATTCACTAAAATTAACTCAAAATAGATCAAAGACCTAAATATAAGAACTGAAACAGTAAATTGCGTAGAAGAAAACATAGGTACTAAACTCACAGACCTTGGATTTAGAGAGGATTTTATGAATTCGATCTCAAGGCAAGGGAAGTAAAAACAAAAATAAATGAATGGGACTACATCAAACTAAAAAGCTTCTGCACAAGAAAAGAAACCATCAATGAGGCAAAGAAGCAACCATCCAAATGAGAGACTATATTTGCAAACAACACCTCTAATAAGAGGCTATATCCAAAATATATAAAGAACTCATACAGCTTAACAATAAAAAACAAACAAGCCAATTAAAAAATGGCAGAGGACCTGAACAGACATTTCTCCCAAGTATAGACAGCTCTTTTTAATTTACGAAACATGCTTTTAGTGTCTTTTAATTAAAAATAACATTAAAAAAATACATTCCTTGAATAGGTCAAACTGAGGCACAAGAATTTCCCATCAGGATGGAAGTTTCTGAATGAAATCTGGCTGGCAACTGAATAAATTAATGGTTGCAGTTCTCAGCCCCTACTGTCTTGTCCTGCCAGACAACTGTTCCCCAGGGCCCAGGTAAAGTGGGTTGGCAACTCCTGACAAACGGACAGCTGACTGAAAGGATCCTGCCCCCCTCCCCATTCCCTGTGCAGCTGTGTGCTGGCCTCGGATACAACGTGCTGTCTCCCGTAGAGGAGGGGAGAGAATTGTGCGACGAAAAAAGCTCCCAGCAGGAGGTAGGCAGGCGGGTTTGACAGACGCGGGAGAGGGCTTGCTTTTTGGACCGCTCTTAGCAACGGCCCTGGTTTGACCCTCCTCAGCCAGGAGAAAATCGAATCAGTGTACCACACTTCCAAGCTCCAGGCAGCATCAGCAACTGAACGTCAAAGCAGCCCTCCTGTCTGCCTGTTAATTACCTGATCTTTCCCAGCTCAAGGTTCCTGCCTTTACAAAGTGCTTCCAGAAGGAGAAGAAAGGACCACCCAGCCGCCTTGCTGCCTGGGGCTTCAGCCTCGATTCTGAGTCCTTGTAAATCATCACGTCTCATTGATAGGCGGGACCGAGGGGCGGGATCCAGCCCCCCTGGACCGGCAGGGGCTTTATTCTAGAGTCACTGACGCGTGGCTGCGCTTTTCTTTCCCGTTTGTAGGTGAAACGCCAGTGGCTTCATTGGCTCCTTGATTTAAACCACGCCCGGCTTTCTGCCCGCTTTGCTGCTGCTGGGCCAGGCGGCCCAGCTACATCCCAGCCCCGTGCGCGGGGAGCCAGTGCTGCTATTGTGTGGATGCCGCGCGTGTCATCTCTTCTCTTGCAGAGATGGCTAACAGGGGCCCGAGCTACGGCTTAAGCCGTGAAGTGCAGGAGAAGATCGAGCAGAAGTATGACGCGGACCTGGAGAACAAGCTGGTGGACTGGATCATCTTGCAGTGCGCCGAGGACATTGAGCATCCGCCCCCCGGCAGGGCCCATTTTCAGCAATGGTTAATGGACGGGACGGTAAGGATGGCGAGATCATGGTGGCTGGGCGGTTGGTAAGGAAACCCTCCAGGCCCTTCTCCTTTCGCTAAGGCTGCTGGAGGAGCAGCTGCTCCCAGGCTCTGTGTCTCCAAGGGAGGGAATGGAAATGCCCTTATTCGTTGGAAAATCTGGGCTTCCTCCACAATTCCCTAGCTAGCGAAGAGGATTCTCTACCCATCAGAAATTGAGCTTCCTTCTAAGTCGTTGGCAAATCCAAAGCCTTTACGCTCTTTCCAGTGAGAATAGAGATAAGTATTTCCTTGAGATCTCTCCAGCCTTTTGGTGCATAAGCTCATTTGGGACTATTCCTTCCCCAAGGGAATGGGTTGGTTACATAGTAAAACAAAGGAAGGGGTGGGGGAGACTAATCACCTTCATCACCAGAGCCATGCTGCCTGGGCTGCTCACTGTTAGTCTATTGAATGGAGGGGTTCTCAGGAAACTGAAGGGAATCCTTATTTGATAATTGCTTTTCTGACCCAAAGCTGCTGCGTGTTTGGGGAATCCGGACTGCAGGCCATGCTGATTCAAACAAACCCATCTTTTTTTCTGCAGACTGTGATTAACTGTTGTTACATAACTGCTATCCCCAGCTTCTCTCTGGTTGCCCAGGACTTGTGTTATAGGGGTCTGGGAGAACCCAGTTCAGTTCTTGCACACATCATTAGCACAAATGGGATGAGTTGTTGAAGCCTGATTCAGATTTGCCTTTTGATAGAAGAAATAATATTAGACTCTAGCATTTGACCTCTCCCAACTCATTCCTGCACTGGAAATCTGGAATCACGTTCTCGTCCCTGCACATCATTCCCTATCTGTAAACGATTCTTTCCCTCACACATAAAAAGGGAGGAAGGAACAAGGAGGGAAGGGGATTCCCAGATTACTGGACTCACTGCAGTTGCAGCAACCCTAGGAATGGGGTTGCCTATGTCTTCAGGGTTCTGTATCAGAGCCTGGCCACCCAGCCCAGAGCCCATGCTTTCCTGGGGCCCAAGAATTGCCTGTGCCCAAACCTGTTACTGGGGCCCTGGGGTGGGGGCGGTGTGGGGGGGCGGTGCTAGGATCACTTTGCGTTAATGACAGGCAAATGTAAAGGGAAACACTGACTGAGTCTCCCCTCTTTCCCCGTTTAGGTCTTGTGCAAGCTAATAAACAGTTTATATCCACCTGGACAAGAGCCAATTGCCAAGATCTCAGAGTCCAAGATGGCTTTTAAGCAGATGGAGCAAATCTCCCAGTTCCTGAAAGCTGCAGAGATCTATGGCGTCAGGACCACTGATATTTTTCAGACAGTGGATTTATGGGAAGGTAAACAGCCCTGTGTCTTTGGGATTGTTCTCCCCTCCTCCTCCCTTTTCCCCTCCCTTTGTGAAACCAGCTCACAGTGTTTTTCCCTGTGCTTGCTTGCTGTGTTGCGGGGAGGTGGGGCGGGGAGTATACCAGCTGTCACCTGGGGGCGCTGTTAGCCTCCCCTTTATGATGTTGCATTGAAAAGGGTATCCATCTTCCTCTGAAGGAACACACACCCCAAGATACAGCAGGGACCTCAGTAAAGAGGAAGCTAAAGTGGTTACAGGGATGCCTTTTATTTCTTCGACCCCTCCTACAATGCACTCTTTCTGAACAAAGATAGCTACTGGAAGAGAGTCAGGGGATGAGTGTTTCTGACTCACCCACCAGTGGCAGGGATCATAGACAAAGATGCCTGGTGCAATTTGGTCACTCAATCTGAGAAATAAATAGCACCTAACTCTTCATTAAACTATTATCTGGGAGATTGGTGATTCTACCTTCCAGATATGTATGTAGTCTCTCAGAGCAGCAGTCCCCAACCTTTTTGGTACTAGAAACTGGTGCTCCTATGAGAATCTAATGTCTGATGATCTGAGGTGGTGCTGAGGTGGTGATGCCAGCTCTGGGGAGTGGCTGCAAATGATGAAGCTTTGCTTGCTAGCCTTGCCGCTCACCTCCTGCTGTGTGGCCAGGTTCCTAACAGACCACAGAACGGTACTGATCCATGGCTGGGGGGTTGGGGACCCCTGTCTCAGAGAGTATGACAAATGATTTTTTTCTTCCACATTTGTGAGTTGACTTGATTAAGAAATCTTAAGAGGCATGAAAATCAATCACATTTTAAGCATTTTTAGTGCTTTACTACATAATGCCAATCAATTCTCCTACAATTCTACGAAGTAAGTGTTATTAATTTGCCCATGTCATAGTTGACAAAACTAAAGCTTGCCCATGATTATGTGAGTACGTCATATGGCTGGTTAGTAATTAGCACAGCCAAGACTCAAACCCAGACTCTCCGAAGAATAAGGCCTTAACTAGTCTGCCATGCCACGCTTTGGCCAGGAGGCTGTTGCCTTCACCTATACTATGGATGTGTTATGAGTCATCTGGTGACTGATGAGGATGAAGAGGAGGAGGATGAGTCAGGGCTGTGTGGGACAGAGAGCTAGAGCCTCTGCACTAACTAAGGGTTTTGTGTGAATGGAAGTCTTTCCAAGTATGAGAAGACGAAGAAACTGGGAGGCGTGTGGGAGGCGTAGATCCTTGCAGTGCTTTTCTGTCTTTTCATTACTGAGAATGCTTTGCTCGCCTTCCTCCTTTTTCCAAAGACCAGTCCGACGAACTTTACACCCAGGAGGTCCTGACAGTGAATGAGGAGGGCTGTTAGGAGCAGGTGGAGGTCTACACCATCTGCCCAGCCCTTTGTGTTAGATACCTCTTAGGGAAGAGGGAGGTTAAGAGGCATGAGTGTGACTAGCCTGAAATAAGGTAGTGGATAGGTAGACCCCGGGGCAGGATAATGCTCCTAGAAAAAGGAAACAAGGAAGACATGGAGAAGTCTCATCCCCCAGACAGAAGGATGGGGATTTAAAGAAAATAAGGAAGGAAACCCACTCCAAGAGTGCTGTGGTTGACCTGCTATAAGTAGGTTATGCAATTGGGTAGGAATAGCTGGCATAACCTATAAGTAGGTTATGCAGTTGGGTAGGAAAGCAGATGCTTAGGGGTGTCCAAAGAGCCTCTAGAGGCCCCAAGGCCTGGTGGTCCCCTCCATGGGAGGTCTGCTGAGAAATGAGGGTCAGGGAGATTTTAAGCTTTGGAGGGAACACTTGACATTCCCCAAGATCGCTGTCTGAAGCTCAGGTCTGAGCAAGAGGTAGGAAAGTGTGTTGCTTCGAGAAGAGAAAGGGGGAGAGTTGGTGGCTTTGAGGGAGCCCAGAGGTGACACCCAGGGTCTAATGTGAGTGAGACAGGGTCCTTTTTTTTTTTTTTGCAAGAGCTGTCTCACTTATGAGTTTAGAGATGAGTATGCTAGAATCAGAGGGATGCCTCCAGGCGGGGTTGGCCTGTGTCTGTGGGCATATGAGAGTGAACATGTTTGTATATGCAGCTATTGGACTAGCCATTTGCTTAGCTAAGTGCCACATTCTCCCTACTATTCTCTACCCTGACTGTGGTTTTTGGTTTACTCACATTCATTCCTGATTCTGTGCAAATAGCTGTGGTAGCTGTGGCTGCTGTGGGTACCGCCCTCCTTGCCTGAGTGCTTCTCTTCCTCTTCTGCCGGCATTTTCTACTCAACAGCTCTCAGTCCCCATCTCTCCTGCTTGGCATTTTTCCAAGCAGAGCTCTGCTTGCCCCACGGCTGCCCAGTGATTCCATGCTGCTATTATGTTGCAGACCCATAAAGCTGCAGGAACCCAGGCTTGCCAAATGCCTTCTCATTTAGGCTTTAGTTATCTAGACAGGCAGAGTCCCCAGATGTTCTCACTATCCTGAAACTCCTTTTAGATGCAATGTGAAATGTTTGGAATAGATTTGGGGGCAACCAGAATGAAAGTTTCAGAGCTTTAAAAAGGAACCCAAGGCTGAATGGTCCAGAAAATGACCCAAGCACAGGGATATTATAGACGAGGCTACTGAAGTGCCTCTGGGACGAAGCTGGGGTGACCAGTTCCGTTTAGTGATAGGAAAGAAATCAGGGCCACTTAGAGCAGTGGAAGGGGATTGGGCATGTCTTTCTCATGGATAAGTAAGGTGAATGCCTGGCAGGTGACTTTCAGATATGCCATGGGGGCCTGCAAAGAACAGGAGTCACAGCTGTCTGTGACTCAGAGGAGAGCGAACTGGAGGTTAGACTTTAGCATCTATTCTTTGGAGGGAAAAGGGGGAAGGAGAGAAAGAGAAGAGCAAAAAAAGGAGGGGTGTGTGTGTGTAAGTGAGTGAACACGTGAGAGCTAGCGAGTGCAGACTCAAAGAACACTTATACTGGAAAGTAGTCTAATGCAGACTCTTGAGTCAGAAACAAGACTACATGGCTCATATCATTGCTCTACCACTTACTAACTTTTCTAAATTTTGGTTTTCTCAGCTGTAAAATGTGAATAATAAGATCTATTTCACAGGGATGGCATGGGGAATAAATGAGATAATGCATTAGAAGTGCTTAGTATAGTGCCTGGCAATAATAGGGTATAATAAATGCTAGCAGTGTCAAAACTACCATTGTCATTGGCCTGTCCATTTTCAAGACTAATGGAAAATGAGAGCACGAGCACAAGGCTGGAAAGGCACACATTCTATGTTGAAACGAAGGATTTCATTCATGGCTTCACACAGAAGCTGGTAGGGATGCCTAGATGACCTTTGCCCTCTCTGACATCTTTGGTGTCTTCACCACATCTGCCATTCCACGGACAGACCAGCTTTAGGGGTTATTGACTTTTATCCAGCTCATGAACCTTACCCTCTTGATGTCTTCCCTCTTAATATATGGCTTCACCAATTCCAGACCCAGAAGATCTTGGTACAGTGGAAAGAGCATGAGTTTTAGAATCAGGTAGATGAGTTGAAACTGTTCTTTAGCTACATCCTCATTGTGTGACCTTGCCTGAGTTGCTTAGTGTCAATTCTCCTCCTATAAACACATCTAGTACCTCCCTCTAAGGGTTCTCTTAAGGATTAAATGTGTAAAATGCCTAGCTCAGTGCATGGCTAAGAGACACCTAATAAATGCTGGCTTCTTTCTCCTACTGTAAATCCATCAGCGACTAACCTTTTGGGTTCCTTTGCATGACTATGTGGCAACCGTTAGACATGTAACATTCTAGGATGTCAAAGCAAGCGAGTCTCAAAGATCAATCAAATCTGATTACTCTTCTTAGTAATCTGGCTGACCAGGATCCTGGGCACATGGTTTTGCCATGCCTTCCTGTTTCCCCTCCATGATGACTGGGAGTTATCGAGGAGGTCTGGTTTTACATCAAAGTGGAATGCCTGGAAGGTCCAAATATATTCTCTGTGGAGGTGTCACTGTATGTGTCATTCCTCAACAGCAGAGGAGAAGAGAATTCACCCAATTCGAGAGGTATTTTGGGATATTGTGAGGTCCCCGTAGTGACTTGAGACATTATAGATGCGTCCTCCTTGAAGCTTCCTTTTCTGTCTGTCAGAACAGCCTTCACAGCATTTATTCCAAGTGCTGCTTACAATTGTGTTCAGATATCTTTTCCTCCAGGAGTGGTCCTCACACTCCAGTGTGCAGCAGAATCACTTGGTAGGGTTATTAAAACACAGATTTCTGGGCCTCAGCCCCAGAGTTTCTGAGGTATTACCTGTGGGATAGCACCTAGGAATCTGCATTTTCTACCATTTCACAGATGATGCTGCTCCTGCTGTTCTGGGAACCCTACTTTGAAAACCACTACCCTAGTGAAACAAAAATTCATAGAATCCACAGGGCAAGTCCGGCCTACCCTCTGACATTTCTTCCTTGACTATTTTTCCTCTACGTTGAGTGAAGAATTGGGGGCTATGCCTAAATCATTAATTAGGAAAATAAGAAATGAGTCCTTTGTCCACTGATTGCTTTCTCTACAAGTCCCAGAAAGATGGAAAAAAGCCAGTACTCCAAGAGTAACAAGGATGAGTCAAAAGTGATAAAATATGAAGTAGCTCTGAATCAAAGAGTTTTGACTATAAGATTGATTTTTAATATTGAAAGTAGAGTGACTTTACTGACTTTACCCACCCATATGACTTATCTCCAGCCTTTTTTCTTTCTCTTTATTCTATTAATTTTTCTTTTCAAAGACATGCATACGATATCATGAAAGGGTAAGAAAAAATGAAGAGGACAGAATCCTTGTTCAAGTATCTCTATGGTAATAGCTCTCAGACTTTATGAACATTAAGAATTCCTGGATTCTTACAGTGTAGAATCCTTGCCCCCAATCCCCAGAGGTAATCATTCGGTAGTTTGGAGTATTAAGACCACACTTAGGGAAATGTCGCTTTGTGACAGTGCAGGAAACAGGGAACACTATTGTCAAGTAAAAGTATCAAGTGCTATCTGAAACGCTTTCTGAAAAGGTTTGCCTGGTGAGACAAGGAAGCTACCGTGCCACAGTCTTTTTTTACAGCTTCAAGTTCTAATATTAGCTTCCTCCCTTGGTAGGGGGCTAGAAGATTCCAGGTAGCCTGATTAAAATTCCGAGCTGTTAGTGTACATTTGGCCTCTCTGCTTTCATGCGTCACTACCCTTCTTGTGGCCAGTGGTCTCGTTTTCAGATCACCACCAGAACTCTATCTCGTTTCTGTGCTCCAGCATCTAAAAATTCCCAGCACCTAGATGGTACTTCTTTGGGGACTGTTTTTTTTTGTTGTTTGTTTGTTTGTTTTCTTGGAATAATAGCCTTGAGCAGTGGTTTTTAAGCCATCTTGCCAAAGTATCTAGGGGTCGCTTTCAAGGGAACAAAGAGATTCGAAGCTGCCAGGCCTCTGAGCTGGCTCCTAACTGGGGTCAGAGCCCTTCTAAAAATTGATTTTTCTATTTGACTTTGTGGAAGTTATCTCTGAAGGAAAGAGTTATTGCTTAACAAATATTACGTAGTACTTACAACATGTTAGACATTGCGATTTTTTTAAAAATTGAAAACCAAAGAATTGGAGCAGTGCTTGCCTATCCAATCTGGCTTCATCAGAATCAACTCAGGAGATTGTCTCAGAATCTGAATTTTTAAGATTCTCGGGTAATTCCCAGTCACCAGGTGAAACTCATGTTTCTCAGACTTGCCTGATGGCATGAATCACCTGGGAAATTAATTAAAAATATAAACTCCCAGGTCCCACCCCAGGCTTGCCAAATAAATTTCCCCAGGGGAATGACCTCAAATTTCACATTTTTAAAGAGATCCCCTTCTGCCATCTAAATCATCAAAGAAGCTTGGGGAACCCTACCCTGAAGCAGGCTTTGCCCTAGGCAGATGGTACACTTAGTGGTGACACGAGCAGTTCAGCTTTTGTTGCTTTCTACCTGGCATACTTCACAGATCTTCCTTAATCACACTGCCCCTTTAGACATTTAAATTTTTGACCCCCAGTCACAGGAATCAGCCTCTACTAACAGCCCCCATCCATTCAACAGCACTTGATCTGGGCTTCTGCACTGGCAAGAGAAGTGTGGCCGCAAGGAGGCCCCTTCCCATTTTGTCAGACCGAGTGCACTGCAGTTCTTCACGGGAACATCTGTTAGAAAACAAACGAAAGGCGACAAGAAAACAAGCTAGACGTGAACTGGTTACAGAGACAGATTTCTCTTCATTACATTATTTAGAATCCTGACGATAATCGATTTGAACTGCACATTGATGGGGAACTCAAGGTACCAACTGCTTTTTCTGGCTTTAATCTTACACATCTTCCCAGTGCATTTCTTCTGGCCTGGCACCGACACAGCCACTGCCAACCTTCGGATTACCTGGTCACTGAGGAACCTGTCTCCCTAGCCAGCCTGCAGTGGGGACCGATGGGAGATGGGAGATGGCAGGGCAGCCTAGTGGACTCTTTGTGGGCTCTGCACTCAGACATGTGAGCTAGGGGCTGAACCCTGGTTTACTTGTTGGGTGGCTCTGGCATGTTAATTAACCTCACTGAATTAGTTTTCCTATCCACACATTGGGAGAAAGTATATCAATTCCCTGGGGTCAATGTCAAGCATAATAAAGTGTCTGGCCTATAATTTATGTCAAATCTTTCTTAAGGAAAATTCTTCTAATTTTTTTGCTTTCTAACACTGCCTCCTTCCCCAGATTCTTCTACTCCAATCGTGCAACCAGTTACTTTTCTACTCTCTGAGATGAAGATGGGGTGGTATTTATAGTTTTAGGTTTCTCAATATCTTACTTTTGGCCTCAACTTAGTTCCTTCATTCTTTTCTGGATTCATGTAGTATATACATTCTCCAGCTACTTATGAGGGAGGCTAGGCCTGTGGTTAACAAAGCTTTGCTTCTGCACCCATGTCTCCAGAATGATGTCTGTGGTTGAGTTTCTGGATGTCAGGCTCTACACTTCCCCAGAACCTGGACGTATCAGACCTGCTCTTTCCAATCATCAGAAACAGATTTCCAGTGTGCAATTTGTACAGAGTGGAGATAAGTGATATACCCTGACTTTCCTAAGCCTCCCTGTGCTTAATCACTTCTCTAAGATCTCTTTAATGGCTCACTACTTAAGAGCAAACTCTCTCTCTCTCTCTTCCCAGAGTGATCTTTCAGAATATCATCAGGACAGTTCTATGAAAAAAAAGGATCCAAGTATCCTGTTATACTGTGAAAATTACAGAAATGTTTTTTGTCCGAAGAGAAGAATCATTCTAATAACCACCTCTGTTTCCTCTGTCTTAATTCTCAATGTTGCTCATGCCCTCCTTCTATTTGCTGCCCCGATTCTCCATCCTCCACCACCCTAGCTGTCCCTTGAGTCTGGGGACTCCCCATTGAGAGCATTTCATCCCCGTATCCATTAACCAATCCCACAGGGCCTCAGGATCCAGGAAATGGCCCCCATGGTTAATGGGATGAAGGAGAGTAGTGAGGGAAGAAGGATCTGCCATCTCTCTCTCATCTTTGAATAAATGGACATTCTAAAATGAACTTTAAATGGACTTTAGTTGCTTATTTTATTGGAATTATACTCCATTTTCACTTTCCATCTGCTTTTCTCCTATAATTTCGTATTGCCCAGTGACTGACCTACAGCACCCAAGCTGGAGAGACCACAGATAGTTCACTCAGTCTAAAGAGAGCCTTTTAATATTTGCCCTTAACTTTCCCAGCACCCCACCTGGCTGAATTTCGCTCTTTTCTAACCCTGTGCCTTTAGCTTCTGCAGTCCACACTTGTGCCATGCATGGACCTTTGATTTGGTTCAAAATTGCAGGGTAACCACTTGGTAGCATCTTTCCCAGTCTTGGACATGTCAGTCAGCTGGCGGAGAGGAAAGAAGAAAGGAATGGAAGAGCAGGCTGACTTGTAGGGTCCAATTGCCTTCTCTGTGGGTTGCGGGTCACTGGGCTCTTAGATAACAGTGTTCCAATGGTACGAGGGGGCAACACCACACATCTTCTCCTTCTTTCTCTCTCTCTCTTTTTTTTTTTCCTTTCCCTCTCCCTTCCTCTTTCTCTTCCGCTTTTTCTTTTTCTTTCATTATTCCCCTCCCTCCCAGTCTCCTGTCCTCTCTCTCCATCCATCTTTCTCTCACACACAAGCCAGTTATTCATTGTCTTCTTTTAGCTCCTTTCAAGCAGCACAAAATAAAGGGCCCATCATTTGTGTCACCTTGAGTGCTTTCTGCGTTGATTTGCTTTTCTTCACTTGTCAGGCTTCCAACCCAAATAGCCAAGTGAATACTCCATTTGGTTCACATGGGTAATTTTAGATCCTTTTAACCACATAAAGTAAAAGAGAGAAGCCACCTGGGGTTTGGCACAGTTAATCCACTCAGCCACTTCTTTCCAGTTTTCTCTTTCCTGTCCTGAGAAAAATCCTCTCTGCAGCCCGCTACACCAGCCTACCTATAGGACTTACCTTACCACAGCCTACAGAACCCACCGAGGCCAGGGCCGCTGCTCAGGACAGGGATCTACCTATGTCAGAGCTGCTAAGTGTTTGGAATGTTTTATTCATACACAGCAACTCTGAAAATGGAGTAGAAACTGTACTATATGGTACGTACTGTACCATATAGAGAAGAACGGAGTTAGGTGAATTTTTGTTTCTCTCTGAGAGGTTTGGCTATGGCTGTCCTTGGACCATTTTGAGAAATATTTAATATTCCTGTCCCCTGAATGTTATCACCTGCAGCCTCCTATGAGAAACTTCTTCCTGGAGGTCCAGCCCCATCCTCTCAGATTCCTTGACCCTGACACATGCTTGGCTTTAATCTCTTTGTTGGTTTCCAGGAAAGGACATGGCAGCTGTGCAGAGGACCCTGATGGCTCTTGGCAGCGTTGCAGTCACCAAGGATGATGGCTGCTACCGGGGAGAGCCTTCCTGGTTTCACAGGTAAAATCCCTTCTCAGCCCTCTGGAGCAGAGGATGATTTTTAACAAGAGGGAGCGTCTAAAGCCTTGTAGCTCCCCAGAGGCTATTTCAACAGAAGCCCCTAGGAGCAAGCACTCCCAGCCCCATGACTGAGTTCTCAAGAGCAAGGAGAGACTGATGCTGATGTTCAGGCCAACATCCCACACAGAGCAGAAATGATCAGGCCTTTCTGATTGATACTGGATCCTCCAGCCCTGCCCACGTTCTGTTTCTCTGGAGACTGGGCAGGACAGAATGGCTTTTCGCAGATGTGCCTTGATGTCTGAACTGGTTTGTAGCCCTGAATCAATCTGTCTGTCTATCTATCTATCTCTCTATCTATCTATCTATCTATCTATCTATCTATCTATCTATCTACTATTTACTTAAAGAAGGGATGATATGTCCCAGTTGCCTGGGACTGTAATTACTGCCTGTTGTCCCAGTATTTTTATTAATAGCACTTACTTTTACTCTCAGAAGCAGTCCAATCTGGATAATAAAGTATATGGTCATGTCAGTAAAAGGCCTTTTCCTAAGGAGGTTTGTTTTGTTGTTGTTTTTTTCAAAAAATGGGGTTAGCAAGGGATTTTAAACTTAACCCAATAGCTCAGTGGGAGATGAAGAGAAAATAATGTTTACCAGATAATTAACTCTTCATTTCTCTAGTCTCTTTTTCTTCTTCTTGACAGTTATAAAAAGGTACCAGTTTGTGTCATTTTAAAGGGACCTGAAAACCTCTTAGACATTGGCCAGTTGAAAGCCTGGTTTTAGTTCCAGCTTTATTAGTGACCTACCATGATCCATATGGCCCGGAAAACCAAAATTGTTTACAATCTGGCTCTTTACTGAAGTTTGCTGACCTCTGGCCTAGAGTACGAAATTTCCTTTCCTTAACTCCTAGGTCCCTCAGCTCTAAAATGGAACATTAATTCTTTGCCCTATACAAAGAAGGGTGGAATACATTATTGACATGCTTTGCAAGAAGGGCCGATTTTAATTTTCACAAGGGTTTGAAATAACCGTGAGAGAGAGGGTAATGGGAAAGCTGTCTGAGAGTAAAGTTCCCAGAGAGGTAGCTACTGATTTCCAGAGGTAGCTGCTGGAAATTCTGGAAAACCATCTAGGCTTCTAAGGAGTATCATGGTAGGGCTTGCTTGTGGTAAGGCCATAGCTCATTGTAGGACCATAGCTCAGGTAGGGCCATAGCTCATAGCAGGACTATAGCCTAGTATAGGACCTGCTCTACTATATCTGGTGACTCCCAGTAGAGTCTGTCTAACTGCATATCGTGGGAAAGGTTTGAAAACTGTCAGAATGATATTATTCCATTTCACTCCCTCTGCCCAGGAAAGCCCAGCAGAATCGGAGAGGATTTTCAGAGGAGCAGCTTCGCCAGGGACAGAATGTGATCGGCCTGCAGATGGGCAGCAACAAGGGCGCTTCCCAGGCGGGCATGACTGGGTACGGGATGCCCAGGCAGATCATGTAGGACGCCGCACCCCACCTGCAGTAGAGAAGACAAACGTTCCACACCACGGTCTCTATGACAAAGAAATAGTTAGTCACCTTCTGACCTTCTCTTTCTCAAAGCCTCTTGTCCCTGGTTTTTGCAAGTGCTGCGGTTCTGCTGAGAATCCACGTTGCCTCTGCTGCCACCTTCTGTTCGTTTAGAACTATGCAAAGACTCCGCTTCCTCTTCCTCAGCACCCTTCTTTGCCCTAAAGTCTGTTTGTCTGATTATTTATTTATTTATTGGCCAAAAATGTCCCTCTTCAACTTATAGAACGCACAGAATAAACAAATTAGTCTTGTGTCGTAAAGCGTAAAGTTCATTTTTTGTCTCATGGGCTTTGCAGGCAGGGCTGATTTTTATTTCGTTCAGGTGGCCAGCAAGATGGAATGAAGCGGTAGCTGTAGCTGAGGAAATATTGGTTAGCTTTGAGGAAGCCCTTACAAGGCTGTAATGTTTATCTCTGCAACTTCAATAGAAAGTTTAGAAATTATTTTGCTCACTCTGAGAGCCTAATGCTACGAGTTCAAGAATAAGGCCTTTGACTCCCGTGTATTTTGGAGCACCTACCTTGTGCTTAGTATGCTAGACTTGTAGAGGACAAAAGCATGAGCAAGCCAAAGCCCCAATTCTTAAGGAGTTCTCTATAGATGCCTGGAAGTATCTGGTGGATGAGTGGTTTTATCTAATGGATAGGTGATGAATGTTTGAAGGATTAAATGGTTTTCACTTCTCTAGCAATAATCTTCCCCCTTCGGGCCAAAAAATGTTTGATGCTGACATTCATACAGTATCTTCTTCAAGTAGGAGTTAAAGGCAATACAGATTGTTCTCTTACAGTCATTTATAGTGTCTAAATCCCTAACACTCTTGGTTATTGCCTAAAACTGAGATCTAGCTAAGATGGGATAGGTTTTAAAGATTTTCTCATCCATAGAAAAATTAAGAAAGCAAATAAGCCTGGGACCACCAATTCATATCATTCTTTCCCACCAGTAGAAACAACAACAAAAAGAGATTTATTCAGTAAGTAAAGAAATAAGGCCTTTTATCTGTATAATGAATCATTAATTAATAAGAAAAGGTAAAAATAAATGGAGCTAAAGACAATGTTACACTCTAAATGTTTAGGTGTTGGTTTTTCAGACTGTGTTCTAGGCTTCCACAGAGATTTCTATGGGATCCCCATGGGGCGGGGATGGAGTGGCGGGGGAGAGCGTTGCTGAGGAGGCAGAATCCTGGATTCTCAGTCCTGCTTCATCCAAGGCATTGCAGATCTTACCTATTTATACATTAGGATTCAGAAGAACATTTTAGAAGGCTTTTAATATTGAAAAAAAAAAAGTTACACTAAAGGAAATTAGCCTCTGAGTCACAGACCTAATGTATCTTTTAAGCCCTAATGACCCTCTGACAATCACTGGTGAATTGTTCATTCCTGGAAAGATGTCATATGAACATGGCAGCTGAATTCTTTTCTCAAAACGTACCTTGGAGTTGCCACAAAAGCAAAAGGGGAAGGTTGATGGGTTCAAAAAAGTGAAATAGTACTAGGAAGAAACTCCTGGAGAGAGAGAAGATGCTTAGGTCCTTGCTTGGGATTGGGAGTTGGGGGCATGAGAAATAG